CCCTTGTCTTTCCTGCACACCAATACTTTGACTGAAGGGCCTCCTGCTGTCCCTCCCACCCCCCATGCCCCGCTGGATCCTTCTACGACCACCCATACTGGGCATACTGCCCATTTTGGGAATCACTGTGCTAGACCAAGCTCTAGTCCAGTGGTGGTGAACCTATGGCACACATGCCAGAGGTGGCACTCAGAACCCTCTCTGTGGGCACATGTGCCATTGCCCCAGCACAGAGTTCACCAGAGTTTGTTACTAGTAAGCCAGAGGGATGTGGCACTTTGTGATAAATAAGTGGGTTTTGGGTTGCAGTTTGGGCACTTGGTCTATAAAGGTTCACCATCACTGCTCTATTCTGTCTATATTGTTATTATAACTTCCTGTACCAATTTAGCATCTCTCTTCATCTTTCTCCACTTTGTAAGAAAACATATATTCTTTATCTAAATCTACCTGGAGTTCATTGCCAATTCCCTTGTAATCTAAGTGTAAAAGACAGTTGCCTTGTGTAATACTCCTAATCTAACACCAAAATTTTGGGAATTCATATCTGATGGGGGCCCATGTACACATATGTATACATAGGTGTGTAGTGTACCATGTAAAGTACTCTTAAGAGTGTAACTGTGGATTACTGCATGGCAGGGGTTTGGACAGATGGCCCTTGGGATCCCATTGTTGTTGCTGTGTGCCTTCAAATCATTTCCAACTTATGGCAAGCCTAACATGAACCTATCACTTCCAACTCTTCAGTTCTATGATTCTATTATACTTTTCATAGATATGGGATGTCATGAAATTTGTTCACCTGCAAAATATCACAGAATTCACAGAAAGACTTCCTTATTCCCTCTGCATCTTTAAACATCTGATATTATTAGCTGCCTTAGATCCCATTTTGGGAGAAAGGCAACAAATAAATGAATGAATAATATTAAATATTATATAGGTTTTGAATGTCTTGATATATGCATATTTCAGAGACAGTGTATCACGGGGAAGATAGGAAGCTGCCTTGTAACAGGTAAGAAAATTTCTTGATCTATGCCAATAGTGTCTACTTTAATTGAAAGTGTCTCTCTCCAAGGTATCAGCTTTGAGTCTTTCCCTTTTACCCTGCAGGTCCCAAAGACTGAAGCTGGGACATTCTGCATGCTATCAATTTGCTTTTCCATGGGCCATAAATTCCTATTCATGGGCAGTACCTGTGTGTAAAGTTAGCTGTTCACATGCATGCAAAATTGGTCATTACCCTTTGGGCAAGCTGCAAAAGTCTTGATTGCTGAGTACATGACATTTCAGCGTTCATTGTGTTTCGGATGGCATATGGATTCTGCCATGCCATGACTAATCCCATCCTAAATGTGAAGTCTTTTTCCTCTGCAACAGGGGTCAAAGGGAAAACAGAATTACTGAGGAATCCCTTGAAGAAAAGCATTTATATTTATTAGCATGTATAGTTATATTCTTCCTCTATGAAAAGAACAGAAACCCTCAGGAAATTTTTCTCCTTTGTGTGTGTCTGTGTGTCTCCCGCCCTCTCACTTCTCCAGCCCATCTTCCTTTCTTCTTTCCTGCATTTCTGCTTGCTACTAAGAGCCTTGCTTAGCTTTTATTTGCTAAGAAAGCTGGCATTTCCAGCCAAGGGCAAACACAGTGTTGTAAGGAAGCCAAATTTGGGATGCACAAATTATGTGCCTACAGGGTGTGCAATTTCTTCTTGTTATTTGCTGAGAGAGAGAGAATGAAAGAAAAGGTTCCAGTAGGAGGCATTGCAGATTGTGGCTGGTGAATGCAAACCTCTAGTTAACAGAAACCTTGATTCCTACATTTGGCAATGAGCTGCAGGTATTCAGATATCAAGCAATGTTACATTCTGGGATGTCCAGTTTCCTTATATATGATTCTGACAACAATGTATTAGTGTTATCACATATTCAAGTAGACTTAACTGATAAAAGTGAATTTGGGTTATCTCTCTCATACAGTACTTCAGATCAATTTGATTATTGTCATTTATTGAAATATTTATATCCCACCTCGTATCCCAAGTTCTCAGAGCAGTGTTTGTTGTTGTGTACCTTCAAGTTGTTTCTGACTTACAGCAATCCTAAGCCGACCCTATCATGGGGCTTCCTTGACAAGTTTCTTCAGGAGGGGGGTCGCCACTGTGATCCTCTGTGGCTGAGAGTGTGTAACTTGCCCAAGGTCACCCATTGAGTATCCATGGCTGAGTGGGGATTCAAACATTCACATTCATCTCTCAGTGTCCTAGTCCAATGCTCAAACCACTCTACCACACTGGCCCTCAGAGCAGGGTACAGAAAGCAAATAAAAGACTGTCATTTGCACTGTCTTTTACACAAATAAAAATAATCTAAAACAATATAAGACAATTTAAAACACTGTGTATAAGCACCAGACTGAGAGTCAGCACAGTGTAGTGGATTGAGCATTGGACTATGACTCTGGGGACCAGGTTTCAAACTCCTGCTCATAGAAACCTGCTGAGTGACTTTGGGCAAGTCACATTCTCTCAGCCTCAGATGAAATCAAGGGCAAACCCCCTCTGAACAAATCTTGCTAAGAAAACCCTATGATCCTTAGGGTCACCTTGAGTTGGAAATGTCTTGAAAATACACAACAACAAACATAAGCACACACTATATCAAAGCTTTACAGCCTGATCAGGCCACAACCCATAAGCCATTAATATTCTGATGAAAAGCTAAGTTTCTACAATGCCAAAATGAGGGCAGGGTTGATAACATTTTTTTAAATTAAAAAGCCTCCAATGAGAAAGCCATTCCAGAAGCTGGGTGCCACAGCAGAGGAAGCCCTCGGCTGAGTCTCCACATAATTCATAATTTCATAAATAATATTATAATTTGTATTCTTATATTGTATCATCATATTAGAGGTTGAGCACATTTAGAAGAATGTATAAAGATTGAATTACAGTATAGAATCTTGACTGCAATTTATTTGCAAATAGATGGTGATTGGTAGAACAAGTAAAAGGAGAGGCACTTCTAAAATGTGGGAAGGATGAAGACAGCTGGGCCCTTTCACACTATACAGTTATAGTGCTATGATTCCATTTTAACTACTATGCCCACTTCTTATGGAATCCTGGGAATTGCAGTTTAGGTTGGAGTATTTAGAATTCTCTGCTAGAGAGAAGTAACGCTTCACAAAATCACAAACTCTAGGATTCCATAGCATGTTGTCATGGCATTTAAGGTGGAATCATAGCACTATAATTGTATAGTATGATAAGGCCCATAGAAAGACTTGGGCCTGAGTTTTGAAGTAGGGGAGAGAGGGAGGGACTGTGTGAGGGGAGTTTGTTAGCAATATAGATTAACAAAGGTTGCATATGTACTGCAGAAATAATGCAGTTTGACACGACTTTAGCTGCCATGGCTCAATGCTATGGACTTCTGGGATCTGTAGTTTTATGAGATATTTTGCCTTCTGTCAGAGAGCTATGGTGCCACAACAAACTACAAAACCCAGGATTCCACAGTATTGAGCTATGGCAGTTAGAGTGGTGTCAAGCTGCATTATTTCTGCAGTACAGATGCAGCCAAAGATGATAACATAGACTTGGCCACTAGTAAAACAAAGGAAAACCGCCATTATAATTGTTTATATCATGTAGATGAAAGAGTGAAACAATATCCATGGGTGTATCACCCGTCACTTATACACACACACACATCAACACCACCACCCTTCTCTCTCATCTACCAAACAAAGAAGCACACTTTACATCAATCTCTGTCAACAAGGTATGAGAACACTGAAATGTGCAAAATGTTGTTGTTGTTGTTAACTGCCATCAAGTCAACTTCAATTTATGGTTACTGGATGAAAGAGGGACCTCTAAATCACCTTATTATCAACAACCTCTAATCTGGTCTTCCTCTTTTCCTACTGCCTTCTACTTCACCAAGCATTAATATCTTTTCTAGTGAATCATGTCTTTTAATAATATATCCGAAGTACAACAATCTCAGTCTAGTCATCTTGTCATCTAGGGAGAGTTCAGGCTTGATTTGCTCTAGAATGCATTTATTTGTCTTTTTGGTAGTACATGGTACTCTGAGAACTCATCTTGAGCACCACA